AAATGAAGCTTAGAATTATCCAGTAAGATGTAAAGTTCAAATAAACATATCCTCAGAAGAAAAGGAAAAGAGTAGGAGCCTCTCTGGTCATTTCAGTAGAGATATAAAATGCGTTGTTTTGTTACAGATTTCAGTGCTGCTTCTACAGCTCCGAAAGAAACTAGACCCAGTCACCTGGGAAATGGACTTTTTCTTTGCTTCTCCATCACATTATCACTCCTGGTCCTTTCAATGGCTTCTTTGCATTGATTCTGAATTTTCAAGAGGATGTCTTTCAGTTATTTCCATGACATTCATGGAATGTTACCCTTTTAACTGTACCTCATACTTCACTTTTTTTATCAGGACAACAAGATGAAGGTAGTTTCATGGGAAATGAGCAGTAGTTGTTTTGGCTAGGGCTGAAATCTAGACAAAGTCTAAGACTAACAGTGAAGGACTTGGCTTTTATTCTAAGTGTTATAAAATTACACATACACATAATATTATAGAAATCATAAATGAATACAGCAGCAACAAACTATTATTTCCAAAAAAGCATTTTTGAATACACTAACAAAGTTAATTGAAACTTAAAGAGCTTCAACATACTACATAGCTCTTGAACTGAAGGGATTACAAAGCACTTCATATATAAATGTAGCAGCCATGTCTAGGGAGTAAAAGACTATGATAGTAGTTTTTAATATAGAGTGATGGCAGCTTTGCCAAAGAAATATTTTGGTCAGTAGTTTTCAGTATGGATCTTGTTTTAATTCATTATTGAAATCTTCATTGTATATAAATATTCTTGGAGAGATAATAGGCCCTTATTTAAATATTACCAATAACTCCAGCACTTAAATACATTGACTTAATAATTATAATATTAGAATCCTGTCATTGCAGTCAGCAACATCCAGGTTATAAAAATACATTAACAGAAGGAGAAAATAATTAATATTAATGTTTCTATTAACAATTAATGTTTAATGTAATAAATGAAAAACTAATAATGAGATTCCTGCATGCTCTGCAGAGATTCTAAATGCAAAGGAGAACATTTATTTATTCAGTAAATTTATGCAATTATTTTCTCACCTAAGACAGTCCTCTAGGCTTGTGTGCAATTAATAAGAAGATATACAGATCTTAATTTCATCTAATCAAAAACCCGTTTGATAAACAGGATTAATCCCATCTCTCCATCACCTACAAAGTTTAAGACAGATGACTAATATCAGGCAACATTCATCTCCTAGTGAATTAAAAAAAGTCTCACAATTATGAAGAACAAAGAAAATAGGGATAAAAAGAGATTCAAATTATAAAGATTATGGAGAGACTAAAATTAGTCTCCTAAACGTACATATATATAACCATTTTATATATATATATAACCATATATATATATATAAAACCATTTTTGTAATCATCATCCTAACTTAACAGAACTCCAAAAACACTGTACAAAAACGCCCTTTCATCATCTATGCACATTCAAATAAGAAAAAAAGTATATACTTAAAAATATCCTATTACCTCATGGACAGAGACAGGAATTTAAACCTCCCATTAGCTTTTACCAAAACCAAGGTTTTTTTATGAATAGTGTCTACTGCAAAGTTGAAGGAATAGCATTGCCACAACACAATTTTCTTGAATACTCTTCTTCTGTTTACCTCAAACCTATTTTGTTTCTTTTCATTACTCTACACTTCTCAGTTTATCATTACAAAGACGGGAAAAGAAAAATCCCCTTGAGTGCATCACATGAGCAGCACTCAGCTATAACAGAGCACATATTTTTTCGTCACTAAGAAAAATAAGATCTTGTAAAATAACATTAACTGTGAATTTCCCTTGTGTTCCCAGTAATTCTAGAATTTTCAAACCAGTTTCCACTGATAGAGCTGAGTCCTGCAAAAAGACATTTGACTCCTCTAAAGGAAGTTTAAAGGAAGTCAAGAATCAAAGACAAGAGATGGTTCTTGTAGATGTCCTCTGAGGTGAAGTGCTCTACTATGAGTTCACCCCATTTTAGATCTTAGACTCCACTTCGACTAAAGGAACCATTTCAGTTTTACGTTGCCCTTTCATGAAACTAGAAAATTTAAACATCAGGAAAAAACCTGATAGAAAACCACAATGCATTCATTTTACTATTTGTTGTTTTTGTTGGCGGTGTTTTGGTGGCTGGGGTATTTTAATTTTTGGCAAGGAGAAGTAACAGATTAACAGCCAATAGTTTCAAAATAACACTCCAGGAATATTGAAGCGAAGGAAAAGCTAGAACATATTTAGCATCAACACTTAACTATGTCATAGATGATGGAGCTGTTACAGAATTGCTCTCCTCATTCAACCCCCAGATACTTTAAAATTAGAAAAAAGTTCACCAACAGTTTAAACCAAAGTGAAAATGCTTCCGTTTGGTCCTAATTTTTTAGCACATGTGTGATATTGATAACAGTTTAATACGAAATATCAAATAATTTGTTTTCATTGTCATGGGTAAAGGAAACATGGATTCTCACACAGAATTTACAGCTGGATAATAGCAAAGTAAGCAACAAAACTTATATCCTGATATCACTGTGATCTACTTTGAGGTTGAAACACCAGATCCTTTCTCAGTATAAATCTTTCATGAATATTATTACTTTGGTATTTTCTTGGCATTTGTAAACAGCTGTTCACAGAAAGCTATCACAAACATCAGTAAGAAAAATGAAAATAACTGCACTTGACTAGAAAATTGGGTATTAGTTACACTTCTGATCACAAGATTTGCCAGGGGCTTTATTTAACAACCATTCAGGCCAGTCAACATTCCACATACTTCTGAAGCTTTCAAACATGTTTGTTTATATAGATTATGATACCAGTGGTAACTACGATGAGTCACCTTGTTTTCACTAAAGTAGAACAAGCTGTTATAATCACTTAAATATAGAACTGGACAACACAGGTATTCCTTTTTCATCTTAGGGGTTTCTGCTGATATCACAAAATTTTTTTGTTCCACAGACCTGTCACATGTCAGTTCACAGTAAATACAGAATCCAGGGTCTTAAATTAAGGTATTTATACCATCTCAGCATGCCAGTTTGTTACTTTGTAGATCATTTAGGTAGGTGACTTGGAATGTGGACAAAGTCTCAGTCTTAACATCTGTAGTGTGGTTAGAAGTGAGGTAGCTTTAAAGTGAGACACCTACATTTTAAAGAAAGGTAGTATGGGTTTTCCATTTTCCCAAGCAGAAAAACATGCTATTCCGAGCAACAATCTACTTCTTAGGACTCCAAAACTCAATATTAATCAACTTCTGAACTTATTTAAGATGAGGAAAGGAGATTTTTACTTAATTGGAGGGCTCATCACTGGAAAAAGCCACAGGAGCACAGAAGCATAAGTGTTCAAACAAGATTCTTAGGTTTCTGATTGCAGAGAAACTTCCGTCCTCAAAATCAAGCAACAATATGAAAAAATACAACACATTATATAAGTGGGAATACAGCAGAAAAGTATTTTCTCTGTGGTTCTTAAATTTAAAAATAAATGTAGAATTGAAAGCTAGTGTTTTCATTAGGTAGAAGTGCATCCCCAAATTATCATACACGAGACCTGTTTTCCAGAAGAGTTTCCAGTTATATATGAACTCCCCACATATCTTAGTAAACCTTACCACAGTGAAAGGTAGGAGTTTCATCAGAAAGAAACACAGGTTGACTCACATTAGCATTTTATTTTGACTCAGGCAGTTTGGAACCAAGTTTCCTGGTTGTCCCCACTTAACTGGCTTTGATTTCCACATCTGCACTGTGGAGCCATCATCTCAGAGTTTGCAAACTGAATTCCTTTTTGAGAATCCAAGAACACCTACAATGCACTCTAACCACTAACAGGTATTCTGCACCCTTGGGCCCATTCAGCCTGAACCAGAATTAATCTGAAGTCAAATCCCTGAAACCCAGTGTGGATATAAAGTCCTCTGACCCGTTCTGCTTACTCTAGAACTACCCTCGTTGTTTCACATCGCTAGTTAGCAATGATGTCTTTTTCAGTCCTTAGGCAATCCTATTTCTTCAGTAGTATCACCACTGCAATTTAGGAGTTATACATAAAAATTAAAAGCTTTAATAAATTTATGCCTATGTTTAAGTTAATGACATTTTAACTGATAACAACTTGTAATTAAAAAGTATTTAGAGAAAAATAAAGTTAATTTAGTACTTTCTTTGAGTAGATGACTAGGAAGCACAGTTGGTTAATAAACCAATCTTTTCATTTTAGAAAAAAAAATTTAGGTTAAACAATGAATTAAATCCAACATTAAGGACACATGACAAACTTAGCCTGAACAACTTTGATCACTGCCCATAGTTTTCCATTTCCTCATAATTTACCACAGCTAATACACTAAATTTACGAAAAGCAAGGAAAATGTGCTGAAGAACAGGAAAGTAAACAGGCAGAAAATCAACCATGGTTTCATTCTCCATTTGAATAGAACTGTATGTTTTTAAAGACAACATATTTTACACATGGAACGTGAAAGACTGAAAAGAGACAGCAATAAGAAAAGAAGCACGTAACAAGCTTAATTGCTCATAGCTACTGCTCTCTATCCACACTTTATAAAAACTACTACTTGAAGTCAACATATAAAATGATCTTCTACTTTCAACTAAAGCAAAAAGACCACAACAGAACAAGTTCACACTCTGACCACTGCTACTGTACAGTATGAAATCCACATTCTTGCCATAAGATGAATAATTATGTCTGCTTGTCCTTACAGGAGTGCAGGAGAAGGATCAAACTTTCATATTTTTGCTGCATTGGCAATGGGAAAATTTTACTAAAAGAATTAAGTCTGTAACTTAAATTAAACAAAATGTTTGTAATTCAGTTTGTTCTTTATAAGCAGAAAGCTAGTATTTCCTCCTATACAAAACTCCTAAATATAAATATAGTTACACCTTTAGATTTATTATATGCATTTGAAAGACACTTACTGTTCCAAGAGTTGATTGTACTTTCTTAAAGCATCCTTTTCAGCAGTAACTGCTCTTTCTTTTTCAGCAACAGCATTATCTCTTGCTTCTCTCAAATTTCTGAAGTAAACAAAAGTTATTCTGTTAATAACCTATAAGGAAAAGACTGTTTTGCTTAATTACTATTGCTTGATTTGAACTTCAATACTACCTTCTTCTATTCTCACAGAATAATAGAAGGATCTGTCTATCTACATGCCTATTTATTACAGAGGCTTTACTTCAGGTTATTTTCATATATACCAGCAAAGCTTCAAGCTCTGAAATTCTAAAAACCAATGATAAAATTACCTATTTATACATAGAAACATATAATTCAAATTATTCTACAATACTAGAACTATAAATTATTTTTTTCCAGGAATTAAATAAATTGCAATAATTTTGCTTGGTACTTCACTAATAACTACAGGAATGCTGTCCACCTAGCTGAAAAAATTCACAACTTTTATGATAGAGCAAGAAAAGATTAGCTAGGCATAGAAATCCTACTTCTACTTACAACTAATTGTCTGGTTACTCTGATATACAGACCATCAGGTATCTTACCCAGCCTACCACACAAGTGAAAGTACCCTTTTAAAATGGGAAGAAATACTAACTAGAGATTCAAGAATGGGCATGGGGGAAAAAAGGTGGGATGAGGACAAGGGAGACAGAAGCTCAAGGGCTTCTGTGTTAGCTTTTTAAACAAACTTCTTGGCAACTGCCATTTATTGCATTATTTGGTTCATATCCCTAAACTATTCTAGAATGCACGAACTGGATTCCAGTCAAATTGAACCAAGTCAGAAAATGTGCTCAGGGAGAGCACCTCACATGCTCAAAACGACTAAATTGTGTTTAATCCAATGCCAAACCCCATGCAGACATTCACATGCCCTGTGAATTCACTCGTACTTGCTAATGCAAGCATAGCCAGAGCTTACAACAACCAAACAAGTGAAACTGATGCCAAATAAATTAGGAATGAAAGCATCACCTTTTTATTGGTGCCCCCCTTCCATTTTAGTTTCTTGAACTGACTCATCCAAGTGTAAAATAAGCACCAATAAATTCAAGGGAAATATCAGACTCATCAGGCTTGGCAAAGTGGTAAAGAATAAAAGCAACTGAATATTAGATTAGCTTAGCTGTAATACAATTCCATTCTTTGAGCCTGAGGATGAAACCAGCATCTTTATTTTCAGTCACAATCAGCACCTCAGCACATCATACAAATTCACTGCAAATTGCTTTGCTCGCAATTTGGGGTCCCCTTTGTCTTGCCATTGAGGCAGACTGTCTTATGACTTTTTTTTTTTGTTTTTTTATAGAAAGAGCATATGATAAAAAGCCTTTTTTTTTTTTTTTGTAAAACATGAAGGCAAGTCTAAAGGATTTACATTTCAGAAGTAATTGTTTCAAAATGAGGAACAAAACTGTAAATCAGTTCCAGATAGAAACGAAATATCTTTCAGTAGCTTTCTCAATGATATACAGACCCTTGTCAAATCCCACAAGCAGTGTATGTTTAAATTCCTACTTTGTAATTCAAAAGAGATTTGCATACAGGAAGTGGTGTAGATGTATATGTATGTGTATATATTTTACTCACACTTGCAAAACTACACCATGATGTAATTTTTTTTTAATTAGAATATTTCAGCTGACTGAAGACAGACAGCAGAAGTCATGTTCTTTTTTTCCACTCTTCCCAGCAGTAACAAAACTACCTATTAGAGGAACAGATGCTGATGCCATAAATATCTTTTTACTATCACCAATTCCTTCTCCACATGACACTTTCAGGACATCTACAATGAAGTTATAATTAATTATTAAACACTTCTCCCATTTTAAAGGAATAAAACAGGAGAAACACAAGCTAAAAAAGAAATCCAGTGCCAAAGGTCCAAATCCCTAGATCCCTAAAGTACTTACATGTAACACTGTGGTATTCAACCAAATCAACACAACACAAAATGAAATATGCAGGTCTTTGCAGGTCTAGAATCTTCTTCAAAAGAGAATTTTATAGTAATTGACATGAAATCCATGCTTATGTTTTTGAATCACCATGCTATAAACAATCTCAATTAGATTTATTTTATATAGGCATAAGTCTTACTGGTTTCCCTCATTTTTTTCTGCCTTTTTTCCTGCATCAACACCACCTCTTCTGGATTCCTGGCACAGTTTCAAGACCGCCCATATAAGCATGACAGGTAAACTAACACATTCTGTATTAGTTATGAATTTTAATAATCCTTTTCGACTGATAATTTTGGATGACCATCACTTGATAATAAATATAACATCATGTATTTACTCCATAAGTATAAATTAATTTCAGTTTTTAGAAGATTCTCATCAGTTTTACAACTGACCTGAAGTTGATAGATTTTGAACAGCTCTCAAAGTGAGAGACAGTTAGGATTATAACTGAGCACAAAACAGTGCTTGGTCATTTCTGCTCTGATTAGGTTATTGCCTACATCTTATTTACCTGTTTTCACGTTCATACATCTCTTTTGAAGTGCTTCTTAGTTGCTCAATTTCTTGATTTGTTTTCAACCTTATTTGTTCCAACTCTTCATGCAGTTTCTTTTCATATTCTGTTTTATAGTGATCTCTGTAAATAAACAAATACATTACACTGGTCAAAACAGCAAAACTTCAGGTACAGCTCTACAGCTAGGGCAGGGGGCTTCTTGATTTTACGTTTTATTTCAATCCATACTCATTTACCTCTCAAACAACTTGAAATACATATCAGTCTATACTGTTACACAAATTAAATGAAAATCAATCAGGAATAAGTAATATTTAACTGGGAATAAATAAAAGCTTTCTGTATACTCCTTTAAATTTTTAAAGTAATTTGATATTGATTAATCACATAACATTAAGCTTAACATTCTTCCAGAAATTCTTTGTCAGCCTCTAAGTGCTTATGTTACTTCACCACTAAAAAAACTCCCAGACTCTCACTTTCCTCTTTGTTACTAGGTAAGGATTGATTAAACTTACTGACTTGCAATAGTGCCACACCACTACAAGACTTGAGTACTATTTGCAACCTCATATGGTGGAAAAAACGTTACAAGAAACATTGAAGATCACACGCAGAGATTTGCAAAGTCAAAACCCCCCAAGATTTAGAATTTATACTGTCAATTCGGCATATAAATTATTTAAAATACATAAGGAAATTTTTAAGCAACAGATATCAGAAGATACTAGAACAAAGAATTTAATTTCAGATAAATATTGACATATTTTTGTAACTTTGGAAACCCATGACAGACTGTAGGGAATCCCATAAAGAATCTCTCCTACAAAACTACAAAATAGGCTTATGTTGTAAGTACTAAACAGCTAAGGAAGCTCAAAGTTTTATAGCATCTAATTAATGTTCAAGAATAATCAATCAGCAATGAAGCAACTGATAGAAATTACAGGTTTGGAAATAAAAGCATATTATGAAGAAATGTGCATTTACAACCATAAAAGGTCTTAGATTTCTTCTGATTTCCAATCATGTGATAGTCTACAGTTTTCAGAAATATGTACTTGAGATAGCCAAAAACTCCTTCACATTAACTAAAAGCCTCAAAATATTGAAATGTCAGAAAGCTTGCTGTCAGGTTTTCCTGTTTTCTTTTTATTGACACCTTGAATTTCAGTTGACCCTTCAAGGTAAAAGTAAATTTTTCTCCTCTCCTTCCCTCAATTGTGTTGAACTACAGCAAATACTGTATAAAGATCTTTGACACAATAAAGAGGTTTATCATGAAAAAAAAAGAACCAAACCAAAACCACACTAAAAACAAGCTGTACTGGAATGCAAGGGTCCCCCCACTAGAAACTTTGTGTTCTTTATGTGTTATACCACTCAATATGAAGAAAAAAGTGAAGAAAAGAATGTTGACAATCAGGACATAAGGATATAATTCTTATGTGCAGGATCAATGAGCATTATCATTTTCTTGGTTCATAGACAATTTGCTATTACCATTACTACTTGCCAAAAAAAAAAATAATTCTGACATTGAAGAAATTACACCTTCCCTCCCATGGCAAGACAGCTAAGTCAGGAAGGTTCACTGAAAAAATTAGAAGTATCTGGAAAAGTCACAAACATCCACAGTGATGTCACCATAAGACAGTTCAAAGTGATGCTTATCTTTATGAGGACTAAAATAAACACATGGTATATAGCAAAGGGCATGTTCCAATTACATAGTTTGACTGCCCTGTCGATGCATTTAAATAAACACCAAATGAGTTGTTGCCTAAGCAAAGAGCCATCATTAAGAATAAGAGAATCACAACAGAATGGTTTGGGTTGAAAGGAACACTAAAGATCATCTAAAGATCACTAAAGATCATTCCAGGCCCCTGGTCATGGGCAGGGACACCTTTCACTGGACCAACCTGGCCTTGAACACCTCCAGGGATGGGTCATCCACAACCTCTCTGGGAAGCCTGTTTCAGTGTTTTAAGATTACACATATAAAGGGAAATATTTTTTGTTGATCTATGCTTACATATGGATTCCTAAGAACTGTAGCTATAAGCTGCAGGTGATCTGTCTTGCCACAATCTTAACCTATTTCAACAGGGAATATTTTTAAAAAATTGTCAGGTTAATGCCTCACGTTTCCTGAAGTCTGTAATTTTCTAATTGCAGTACCCCAATGCCAGCAGTTCTGACAGTGACCAGAAGGTGACTTACTCTTTACTCCTGAAAATAGATACTTGGGTTTGTTTTATTCATCTTCATTCCTGAATTACAGCAGCCCAAAGAGATCCAGATGTGAAGAAAGCATTAAAGAGCCTAAAATTCTTCAAAACATATCAAATAGAAGCTTATTAGCCAAACTGGTGTTACCTGCAGAAACCACTGAGGACTGCAGAATATCCATTAGCTGGTACGTTTTTCTCTTGCTCTAGTTTTGTACCTCTCTAATTTATTTGCCAAATAAATAAGATTCTAGGGGAAGACTGCTCAGATGTATGTGACTTCTTAAAACACCATTTAAAAGTAGAACTTAAACATTTATTTAAAATGTAGAAGTTCCATGCAAATGTAGTTCTGAGATATTAACATGCAAAACAAAAAACTTGACATGACTGCACTGAAAGAAAAACAGTATTTAAAGCACTTCTGATATGGGCTGGAACTCACAGCTGATTATTTCAATACAGTGGCCTTCTATTTTCACTTGAATAACACTCTGTATTTTAGCTGTGTTATAGGAGAGTCATATTAGCACACTTCATCTTAGTTATACAAGGACACAAGATTTATAGATACTATTTTCAGTTCCATCTTCTTGATTCAAACACAAGAAAGAGGCTGAAGAGAAGCTGAGCCTACCTCACACTCTGAGCTTAACCATTCAATCCACAGGTGTCCTTTTAAGGACACTACTAACCAAAAAATAGGTTTAGTTTCATTAATGCAGTACATATAGGCAAACATTTGATGTAACTCTGGGATACACATTGAAACAATTTCTTTTGGCATCTAGATGTAGGGAAATAACATGAACTAGATAACCTTGAACTGGATGATGTTCTTAGTCATATGATTTAGATTTGGATAGTCCTGCAAGGAGCAGAGAGTTAGATTCAATATTCCTTATGGGTCCCTTCCAACTATGATTCTATGGAATATTGTAGTACAGCATTACATATGTAGCAAGACATGTAGCTGAGTAGTGTAATGTATTCTGTTCAACATCCCATCCCATCTCTATTCAAAGAGCATGAAGATTTGCTGCTATTCAGCAGTGGCCAGCATACAGTGATAGATCTACTTCTCAAGGCTACACTTAGAGAATCTGTATTCAAGCTCAAGACTGATAGCTCAAGAAGCTGATACAAAACATGCTATATTTAAACATTTGTGAAAACTGAACATATTTTATTCTGAAATAATAATTCAGAGTTTCTATCAGATACTACTTTTAATAAAGGTAATTTGTGGTGGTGGAAGGTTTTGTTTCTCTCTTTTGTAATTAACTACAACTACCTTCCTAAATTTCTGTGTAAACCTAAGAGTTTAATTGCCATAAACTTTCAATGCCGATATCTTCACTACTATGGTCTTATATCAAAGGTTTAAAAAAATTTTCCTGATACACATTAAGACCCAAGAAAACTGTTTCTGCTTCTAGTTAAATAAATATGGACGTGCTTTCTGAAAAATAAAATTAACGAAACAGGATTTGTGCAAGAAACAAGGGAAAACAATTAAATAACTTGTCTACTGATAAAAGTGAACACACAATAACTTGCCTGGATGTAACATATTTTTCATACATTTCTTCCCTAGCTTTTTTGGCATCCTCTAGCTGAATCTGAAGTCTTTCAAGACGATCCTCTTCATGTGCACAGCGAACACTAAGCTCCATGTTCTGGCGATTAAGATAATCTTTATCTTTTTGCAACAAGTTGAGGGATTGTTGTATGGTTGCCAGCTATAAAAGGTATTAATAAGAACACTTTAACATGAACGTCAAGGTATTTAAATTATGTACACATATTTGCAATTTCATTTTAACTCTCTTCTGTGAGAAAAATGTAACTGTGCTCTCCCTCCAAGTAACAGGTTATATGTGTAAACACAATGTGAATAGACATCCTGGGTTACTACACCAAGAAAGAAAGCAGTTTCTGCTCCTATAACTAGTCTTCCCCTGGAACAAATAATCTGTCAAACACTTACAACTGGATGCTCCTCCAATCCAGGACTTGTGATGCTACATCAGTATACACAAAAACCAGCAGGACCTTCTGGGAGATTAATGCTACTTTTATTCACTCTAACATTCATTTAAGTTAATCAAAAAAGCCATTGTTTTTGCTATAGTATATTATTTGATGTGTACATACAACCTTGATGTACACAACAATACTTTTTTTGCCAATGTTATATGCTGAGAGCAAACTTGCCTTCTGATGTCCTCTAACAGTGTTAGAACACAGAGGAATAAACAGCCTAACAAAGTCTTCAGATTGATACTAAAGAGCAGAATATTTTCTAATAGAAACTTATTTTTTTCCCTAATGTTTCTGACAATCTCTATGCCTTTAGGCAGAGCAGTACTATCTTTGCAGTGGAAATTATAGCCACTATTTCATCTGTAATATTGCTATACAGAGAAGCTAAGGAATGCAAAAGTAATCTGTCTCATGTACTCAGCTGCTAAAGTGTTAACACACAAAGATCTTCCATATTATTCTTCTCTGAACCAGTGCAGAAGAACAACCTTCTCATGCAGTCCCTTTCAAATGATACTAAAAAATAAATTCACAAATTATTAAAGAACAGCTAATCCATTGTTTCCTCTATTTCTCTTGGTGTTTCCTGGAATAATTTCTGTACAAAAGCACAGCTTAGAAACAGTCTTACTTTTGCATTCAAGTTGCATTGAGCTACAAACCATCTGATAATTACTCAATGACAATATAAACTGTAAAGTTTTCTTTCTTTCTTGGGATTCAGTAAAAGTCTGTTCTACCTCCTGAAAAGCTGTTGCAAAGTTACACCCACAAGAGAGGAAGGGGAAAATCCCTTAGCAGTGTCAACAGTTTTGGGTGATTCTATCCTAATCAGTTTACTTCAGGTGAAAAATTCATCCTGGAGGTTCAGTGAGACAATCCCCCATGAACAATTCGATGCAGAAATAATGAAAGTGGATACTGAGTAATGGAAGCTTGTACTGGTATAAACCAGTAATGGAAGCTTGTACTGGTACAAACTATCACAAGTCCTGCAGATCAAGGCAGTGAACTTGGAAACATTCTTTACATACATTTCTTTTTGAGTGCCTTGACCCAAAAGTTATCATCCATGTCCATTACTGCACACAATTTGTGACTCCTGGATGAATGAATTACTGAACAGAGAAGCAGAAAGGGGCATTTCTTTTGATCTGACAAGACTTCTGGCTCTTGGAATGTCCTTGGAGAAGCAGAAATGTATTCCCCTGTGCAAAACTAATGCAACCAGAATGGAAATGGCTGAGATTTGAGTAAAATGATCGACCTATCTGGATCAGAACTCACTGGAATTCTAATAAAGGTAAGTACCCCTCTGCACCTGAAGAGACATTTATTCTCCGGCAGAGACCAGAAGAGCTCTACCAAGACAGTCAACACATGATGCAAAAGAGGTTGAGACAAATGTTTGGAGCTTATTTCAACCTTTAGAAGAGAAATCTGGTCAAGGAAAATCCTATTGTTATCTTCAGTTATCCAAGTGGAATGCATAGAAAGATCCAGACTCTTGGCAGTACATAGCGACAGGACGAGATGCAACAGAAAAATGCTGCAACAACTCTGATTAGCTTTTACAGAAACATTTTCACGAAGGAGGCAAACAAACACTGGAACAGATTGTCCAAAAGGCTGTGCAATCTCCATCCTTGGAGATATTAAAAACTTGACAAAGCCTTAAGCAATCTGATCTAATCCTTTTCTGCACTGCATGGGAAGGTTGGACCAGCTGGTCTCCTGAGGACCATTCTAATTAAATTATTCCATGATCCTGACAGACTTGATTAGACAAAGAATCAAAATCCTGGGGTGAAGAAATATACAATTACTAAAGTAAGGACTTTACATTTACCTCTTTTGCTAAGTCATTTCTTTCTTTAGCTTGTGCTTTGTATGACACCTCTAATATTTCATATTTTCTTCTGAGTTCTGATAATTCATGTTCAAATACATCACGTTCACTGTTAAAACAAAGTGAAACTATTAGATGCATAAAGTGTAATGAACAAGATTCTTGTGCATTTGTAATTTCTCAACCTTATTTCAGTTTATGACACTTACTTCTTCCATAGGGTAGTTACTGACTAATCTTACTTTTTTCAGTTATTAACACCTAGAACAGTATCTTAATATATGAAACAAATTAGGATTATTTAAATACTTAAAAACAAAGTTCTACTACAATAACCTTGAATTCTCATCCTAAATTATTTCAGCTTTTGATGCTGTTTTCCATGACATTCTCTTGAATCTTTTGCAGATATTGAAGCCTGATGAAAAAGTGAAGAAATTTCATTCCCATCTTCCTAATCAAAGAGAAAGAAATGTGTACTTGTACTCAGTTGGTGTTCTCCCTTGTATACATTCCCTTGATACCAGAGTGGGTTGTACTCCTCATGTTTAAAATATACATGACACAGCTGCAAAAATTATGTTAGTGCCCTGAACAAGAGTGCTTTCCATATGCACAAAGAAACATCTCTGTGTCTCCACTCTAACCCTGTCAGAACAGGGAAATGAATGAGCCAGTATGAGCTTGCAGTTTGGAAAAAAGCTAACCAAATTTATATTAAGTATAGCATAGCTTTAAAACTGAGATAACTTGTAGTGCAGCAGAACTAGAAGATTTGACATAGCATTTTTTAAAGGCAGAAACAAACCTGGAAGTGATTAACTTCTGAAGTGTTCCCAAATATCCTCATACAGTCATGCCAACAGTGCTCTCCCCTCCCCTTCGTCTGTGCCTACACAGATGAATATAACCTACTCTCTCATATATAGTTTTGGCACGCTCATTCAAGCTTTTCTCAACTCCAGACTATTTTAAATGCACACTGCTAAACACTGGGGCCATTCACACAAACGTTATTACAATCCACTTATTAAGATGCAGTTGTACATAGGAAGTAAGCCATAGCATCAGTCCATCCTATTTGTAACAAGCTGCCAGGTATATTCCAAGGTTGTTTTAGTACATGTAGATGTGAACCAGAAGAGCTGTGAATCCAGAAGACAGATTCTCCTTGAAATGACTTAGTGGCAGGCAAAGTCATTTTTGTCAGTAACTGCCTAAGTTCATTCTGTATGAACAACTAAGGAGCTGGTAGGGTGTTTTCTATTAATAATCCCCATTTTTGAATCCATTTCCCAACAAATGTGCCAAAGGCCAGATTTCTTGTACTTGCAAACACACTAAAAAAGCCATTTGGGAGCTGGACTGTGAAGTCTATGAGTGTATTTATAAGAAGTCCATTTTCACTATTTTGCAATTGTTTTTTGCAAGATGGATATTCACAACCTTGGCTAGAACTGTAAAACCTGTATTTTTAAAAAGAGACACACTGGAACTTCCTGCAGTTAAACCAATTCACTAACGTAATCCTAAGGTATCTAACAAAGACTTCTCATAACAGCCCTTTCAAATGTATGATTACAAGAATATCTTAAGTTGTAAATATTAATTCCCAAGGTCCTATCCTCTTAATTCACTCTGTAGGCACCACAGAGTAGAGCACAGGGCCTTTTGTTAGAGCTTTGCTTTTAAACTAGGAAAAAAAAGAGTACTTGTTCCAAAATGCTTGGCACCAACAGCTCCCACTTCCTTAGCTGCAAAGAGATTGCTAGGCTCTTCTGAAAACACAGTAAATCTCAAAATATAAACTTTTAGAAGGCAAATTGATAAATCAGTTTCAAAAATGTTATTCATTTCATGTCTGAAATATACTACAGGAGATAACTGAACCATTAGTTGACTGAGGAAAGGAAAAATATCTGCAGTGTGCACAAGTCAAAAATAAAATCTCTAGTCAATCAAGGTTGATGTTTACCTATTAATATCTGTATGTTAGTTTAACACTTGAATTATAGAGATACTTACGATTTTACTTTATCATAGTTCTCTTGTCTGTAATCACCTTGCTGAATCATCTGCTTGGTATCAGCCAGTTCCAGTGTTAAACGCTGGCATCTAACCTCAAGTTCTGACCGACTCTTCCTCTCATCTTCATAGCTCTAGAAAGTAAGACATTTGAAAGGATCACAGCTACACTGTTATTTACTTAAAGCAATTACCAATTAATTTTTGTGAAGATCTCTTAGACTATTTATGTGGTAGTATTTTCATTTGTCTCAGTATTTGGAAATTTAGTACATATCACAAAGTAACCAGCGATACTGATATTCAACTTAGTTTTATCTTATTATAAATAGAATCATAGAATCAATCAGGTTGGAAAAGACCTTTGAGATCATCAAGTCCAACACTGCTGTGTTTACTAGACCATGGTACTCAGCGCCACATCCAGTCTCATTTTAAAAACCTCCAGGGACAGTGAATCCACCACCTCCCCGGGCATCCCATTACAATGTCTGATTACCCTCTCTGTAAAAAATTTCTTCCTAATATCCAACCTAAACCTCCCCTGGCACAGCTTGAGACCATGCCCACTTGTCCTATTGCTGATTGCCTGGGAGAAGAGACCGACCCCCACCTGGCTACAACCTCCTCTCAGGGAGTTGTAGAGTGATGAGGTCTCCCCTGCTCCAGCACCTCAATGTTGTTCCTGAACTGAGGGGCCCAGAACTGGACACAGCACTCCAGGTGTGGCCTCACCAGTGCTGAGTACAGGGGAAGGATCACTTCCCCGGTTCTACTGACCACACTGTTCCTGGTACAGGCCAGGATGCCATTGGCCCTTTTGGCCACCTGGGCACACTGCTGGCTCATGTTCAGCTTCCTGTCCATCCAAACTCCCGGTCCCTTTCTGCCTGCTGCTCTCCAGCCACTCTGTGCCCAGCCTGTAGCGCTGCAGGGGTTGTTGTGGCCAAAGTGCAGGACCCGGCACTTGGCCTTGTTGAACTTCATCCTGTTGGAATCAGCCCAACTCTCCAGCCTGTCCAGGTCCCTCTGCAGAGGGACTTACTATTGAAAACTGAGGCAAAGAACGTGTTAAGTACCTCAGCCTTCTCCTCATCTTTGGTGACTATGTTCCCCCCACGTCCAACAAAGAATGGAGATTTTCTTGCCCTTCCTTTCACTATTGATGTATTTGTAGAAGCACTTCTTGTTATCCCTAATAGAAGTGGCTAGACTGAGTTCAAATTGTCTCTCTAATTTTCTTTCTCCATGACCTAACTATATTCCTAAACTCTTCAGGAGTAGGCAACCCTTTTTTCCATAGTCTGTAGGCTCTCTTTTTATCCCTAATTTCCTTCAAAATCTCCCTGTTCATCTAGGCTGGCAGCCTTCCCTGCCGGCTTGCCTTTGGGCTCACTGGCACAGCCTGCTCCTGTGCGTTCAAGACTTCCTTCTTGAAGCATGTCCACCCCTCCTAGACCCCTCTGCTTTCAAGGACCGTTTGCCAAGGTACCCTCTGAACGAGTCTTCTGAGTAGGTTGAAATGTGCGCTGCGGAAGTCCAGGGTAGAAGTTTTATTGATGGCCCTCTTTGTGTCCCTGAGTGTTGAAAACTCTATCATTTCATGGCCACTGCGTCCCAGGCAGCCTCCAACCACCACATCTCCCAGCAGCCTCTCTTTGTTTGTGAACAGCAGGCCTAGAGGGGCCCCACCCCTGGTAGGCTCATTTAGCAGCTGAAGCAGGAAATTATCCTCTATATATAAATACTTGATTAATGTGCCTATTTTTTGTAATGCATTTGTCCATTAGCACAACTTTCAAGACACGTAACTCTCATATATAGAGCTGTTTAGGGCAATAGCATATATGGAGTGTAAGACACAAAGACACCCTGATCAACTTCACAGGCACCATCAACCGAACAACTGACAGAATGCCTTCTTGAAAAAACACACCTTAATAATTGTATGACACTACAGAAAAGCTCCCTAAGCTACTAAACATACTGTAACTATTCTGATAATAAAATAGAATTTTTTTTAAAATATTTCACAAGCCTAGTAATTTTCCCTTTAACTAAAATCACATTAGGTCACAATCTCAAAAATCACAACCCCAAGAAAGTTTTCATGAGAGTTTTGAGTCATCTATCATCATTTAAAGACATGATTGTTACTCATCCTAACATATACTGGTACACATGCCTTATTTTTATGTGTACCCTAATTAACAGATACAGATTCAGCAAATTACCACTACAGAACATTTTCTTCTTAAATTAATTAACATGCCATTATTTATAAAAGTGGCATCATAATAAGGGTAAAGTCTCTGTCAAGATGTTTTTAAAAGCTGTTGTCCACAAGTTAGTTAGAGTTTCAAATCCGTAACATAATGGTGTTACTACCCTGCTGTGCACTGCAAACATGACTCACCTTGCAATAGGAAATGTTTGTAAGGGCACTTAATGTTTAAGTGCAAATTGAAAGATTAAGTTTAGAATAAAAATTCTTCTGTGGATATCCTGTGCCATACTGCTGCTAATATCAAGCTGGAATTCATACACTCTTCACTGAGTGGGCTACTGAAGCTCCTACAGTATTACATATCTGGCAGCTGGAAGATAACTAACTAAATTATAAAATTAAATTGGGTAACCTCTGGATAAATTATTCATAAACAGCTTTAAAGCACCAGTTAACAGAACAGTTAATTATCTACAAAATTAGTTCCTTCTAACACTTCAACCATAAACTTAGTTTTGAATTTTATTTAACAAATCAGTTATTATCGTCATGTAACAATATGGTAACTTCAAGGAGGGGAAGTTAAAATTCTGCTTTTGAAAAGCGATACTAAAACATACCTTCAGTATGTGGGTTTGTTATGTTTGTTTTTTAAAGATTTAGTATAATTCCTGAAGAAACACTAATCATACTGCACAGGTCACTGTTTTTCATCTACCTAATTTTAAGGTGTCAAAGTAGTATTTTAATCACATGAAGAAACGTGACAAAGCTAATTGATGTTCTAGGCTGTAAACAGGCTAACACCAAAAAATCTGTACGGTGTGCATAAATCCAGGTAGCAGATACACAAGCTTCTGGACTCCCATAGCAATACATCTTAAAGACATACAATCAAGCTGTCTGTGCTTAGGAAGAATAAAGCTTGCTTTGCATGTAATGAAGTTAATTTAGTTTATAACAATGTCCATACATCCTAAACTGATTTTAAGATCTCTGCAGTGGAACAGCTTTATCTTTCAATTTATCTTCAAGAGTTAGCTTGAAAGTCTTGATGAACAGCTTTGTCCTGCTGAAGTAAAAAAGGGGCTTATAAAAGAATCAAGATACAGAGCCCTTTCTAGGACAGGAATGAGGTCCTGCAAATACCAATAAATAAAAATAACCTAAGTAAGCCCACAAACCTCAAAATAATTAAAGGACAAACAGTACTTCCTCACACTGAATGTGTTTGAGTGTTGAATCCCAACACTACATGGCTTTTCTTCAGCTTCTTACTAATTTTTTGCAGAGAGCAGCAACTCACACTGATGAGATGGTTAAAACAAACAAAAAACCAAACCTCTCCTATGTGAGACAGTTGGGCAAACATAGCCCAAAGAAATTCTTGACAGACTGCCTAAGAGAGCCAGTACTAACCAGTACAGGTATTTTCTACAGAGCATGTGAACAAGTCCCTACCAAGAAGTGATTCCATTTGGTTTACAGACACTGTCAACACATGGATGCTTCAAGCAAGAAGATTCTAAACTAATGATCTGCACCACTTAAAACCCAAACTGGTAGAGAAATTAAAGACCTAATGGCAGACCTCAATTTAATGATATAGAGCTTCACTGTTATCCACAATCTGGAACGAATAGCAGTTTACAGTAGTCACCAAAATGAACTTCTATCTCAATTTCAAGTACAAAAACTAGGTGACATTTTTTTGAACAAAGTTAGTGACATCTAATACATGGTAGGGATTAGCTGATCTTTCAAAAAGCCTTTGAGGATAAGAAGATAAACAGAAATGCAGGGAAAAGATTAATCAGCCAATCAAGCGGAAGTAGCATGACTTCTTCACACTGTCTTCAGATAAGCCTGTGGAAGAAAGTGATCCAGCTTTTAAAAAGCTTTTAAAAAAGATCTTTATCTTTGAAGAATCACTTACACAGGCCAGCATTTTGTTCATATACTAAGGTACTTAAAGGCCCTAACAAATGCAAAGCTACTGTATCATTGTGATGTGAAAACCAATTCCCTCAAGTTATTTGGATGAGGTGCTGCTCCCTGGTAAAGATGATATTTTACCTTGTTTACACAGTCTGCATTCAAAAACTATTGGTAAATACATTACTTATTGGAATACAACTGCTCAAATGTCAGGAAGAAGCTATACATAACTGGATGAGTAAGACATCTCTAGTATATTGATATGAAATGGGTAATCTGCCAAGGATTGTAGATGGGTCACTATCTGCTCACAAAAATTTAGAAACAAAACTGTTGACCTACTCCAAAATAGAGAAACTCTGAAAGAAAAGTAAGAAAGAAAAGCTTTGGCCTAAGTGCTTCTATAGAAAAAGAAAGTGGGGGAATAAAAAGCTCTTTCTCTATCTGAGTTTACTAGAATCTTCAGTGAAATATTCTCAGGTGAAAAGGATACTTGAGATCATTGCATCACAGAGTAGTATAATTAAACCATCTGGTACTTCTGAACAGCTAGCAGTCAAAACAATCCACAGCTATGTATCGAGTCAGAGTTAGAAAGACACTGGACAGAAAAGGGAACTTTCATAGATACATCATTTCCTCGAGTCTTGGGCATGCTAAACTGCTCCCTCAAGCTCATAGTTACTGATAGAGGATCTTCTTTTCAGCTTTTTTTTCCTGAACAATATTAAGAATAATCCATGAGAGAAAAAAAAGCATGTATTTCATCTTAGACTAAGGCCTCATCTGTGCTTTCTAGAGAGAGTTGTGAAGACCAAGTAATCAAGGCACTGCTTGAAAGAAGTGGTGCCAGGGGGCTGGGGAAGTGTTCTAGACTGCAGTCTTTACAGATATGCAAACTTTAGGAGAAATCTGAGGGATCGCAGTCCTTCTGGAGTACCAAGAACAGCCAAAGTTTTCTTAACATTTGGATACATCTAGTGCCAATTGATCCTTTGAGTGCAAAAGCTTAGTTTATTCTTTGAAGACTATAGATGGGCTTTTCCTCCAGCTGGACAACATTATCAGAGATAAAATTGTTAGTTACCTCTAGCAAAGCTTGACAGCTACTAATCCTGATTCAGAGACAAAGCCTTAGAAGAGATCTTTGTCCTACACATAACCAGCTTTCTCTTTAGGCTAACCATAGGTTTTAGATACTGTCATACTATAAGTTTTATTGCAAGTCCTGAAGGCAACTTTACAGGAAAAATAACCGAGGAAAGCAAGTCCTGATAAACCTGTATCGAGACCAAATTCCAGGAAAACACTGCCAAGAAACTTCTAGCCAGAAGAAGAAAGCAATACTTAATCTTCTAGAGCTATAAAGAAAAGCAAGGTTTCCTTCCCAGACTCTCTTCAGTCTTGAGAGAAACTCATGCGTAGTAGATTACATCTGTTTGAGGGAAGGTTCTAGCCACTTTGGAAGCAAACAACTCTGAAAATAGTAAGCTGATGTTCAGCACGGGGAACACACACATCAGAAGCAAAGGTTTTGTTTCTGGGAAGCTCCTGGTATTACACCACTACAGCTGGACTTCCTTTTCTATCAGTACCTCCAAGGTGGTGGTGGTGCCAACATTACTCAGTAGTAATGAAGTACTATGCACTATAAAACGAGAACTACAACGAGCCTGTACTATACATTATACAGTAACAAGTCAGGCAGAACTGCAATACAGGAACATCATTTTACCAGTTCCACTGCCTCCTCCTGGCCTGTGGCTGCTGTACCTAGACTCAGATGCAACAATTACGCACAGAGAGCCATTTACTTAGCAGCTGTACAGCAGAATCACTTATACTGACCACCTCAAAAACGGAAAATGGCAACAAATATCTATTGACACTAGCTGTGTTTATCAGGCTATGTTCCAGTGGTAGAAACCAGTCTTCACACACTATTTTCTGCTACCAGTTGTCAGAAGCAGCTCCTCGCCCTACTGGGTCTGTGTTACAGATTCAGCAGCCTTTGATTAAGTGCTAGGAGCAGCCACACACAGTCAACAAGAGAAGTTTACAAAGTCAAGAGCTGTCTCACTTTTCAGCACACTAAGAATTAAATGAGTGCTAACAGAGGCTAATACACACTTAGGACCTCCTGACCCTTCTGAACAAACAAAATATATTTTCATGTACTTTGAGCACAAATAAAGGTGACAAACATTCAGAAGATGCCCTAAAGTCAGAAATTAAAGTTTTTCTAATACAAATGAATTAATGAATTGCGTAGAGATAAATAACAAGTGAATTTGTCAAGTCTCTTAGAATATTAGTTTCTAGAAGGCTACAATGACAATTCAATTTTTACAGAACCAAGCTTCCTATCTGGTACAGCTGCTTGTAAGCTCAGTTGGCTGAGAGGTCACAATATGAGGCCACTGCACTCACTAGGTCAGGCCAGGTCTGTTATGCCAAAACCAAGTATGATTGGGTTCTGTTTGGTATGGTTCCCTTCCACCCTCCAGGAAAAAAAAAAAAAAGGCATCATGTAGCAAAAAAACACCTGAGAATTTTGTAACATTTAAACATTTGGATCTCTTCCCTGATTTTCTTTTTTTCTAGAGAGTTACTAATTTTTACTAATTGCCTCTCGCTTTGAGCATGTAAATAGGGTATAGGCATTTAAAGAACCACCTCAGTTCAACACAGGCAACATTTTAGTGCTTCTTTTGCAGTGATAAAAGCAAAGCACAGCACACTTCAAACTTGGAAAAACAGATCAATGGGAAAGGTGGATACTGCCACCATGTGGTGTAAAAAGAATAAAACAGGAAGTTTCTGTATTAAAGAAAGGTCAATGTACTGAGAAAACTGTTTCTAGCACAACTTTAATTATTGTTATCTACTATCTTGTTAATTTGCTTCAGCAAAAGTTAATATAGATGTCAGTCAAATCTCAGAAGGCTAAAACCTTCTGAATAATTTTATTAAATCAGAGCATACTAAATGTACAATGAAGGAAAATGCTTACGTTAGACAAAGTGAACAGGATTAATTTAATCTCAGTTATGACCAGAGATAACACAAAACAACGCTGAACCACATAAAGTCACAAATTTTATTGACTACTTTCTCTAATTATCAAAAGGAGTGAAAATAATTTCTAATTATCAAAAAGAGTGAAAATAATTTCACAACATAATCTTGTGTAAATAATTTCTCCTTATACTTGATTATTCCATAATTTCAGAGGGGAAAAAAAGTGATAAATAAAAAAATATTCTCAGAAGCAGTAAAATGACAGTGGCATTTAAAATCCCTGATAGCCATGACTTTGATAAATATATCTGGGTACCTGAGTACCTGAGTTATCCCAACTCCAGATTTATTATGTGGAACTAAGCTAGAACACAAATTACCCTAGATATATACATGCTAAAAATACTATAAATATTCATAAATACCTTAAAAACAACATGTTTCTTATATTGTTTCAACTCCTTTGCTCTTTGAAAATAAAAATTAAACATATTTATATAATTTGTTTCTCTACTTCGAGTGTTTATTCCTTACTTGAAAACAAATTATCTTTCTCTTTAGTACAGAAATAAATAGGAAAATTAAAATAGAAAAAGTTGAAAAGCATAGCAAGGAAAATGCAACCGCAAAAAATTATTAAAAATCCGTTTTTATATCATTAATACAAAAGGTGAAGCAAATTACTACCAAGACATCACCATCTCAAAAACTATACACTGAACCATCACGGTGCCTTCAACCGCTGCTGCGTGGATCTCCTGTCTCAGCTTCCCCACCTCGAACCTTGCCCTCAGAAAGCACCAGACAGCTGGTAACAGAGTACCCTGAACATTCTCATGAGTACATCTTGCAGGGCAGCCATGGCATAAAATTACCTATTAGACAAAAATGTACATACCATGTTGCTCTTTTCCATCCCTGCCTCCCTCTCCACCCTCTTCTCCCCCGAGGAATTTTTATATAGAAAAAGAGCTTCTATATCTTATCCATGAATAATGATTTGGAGAATGAGGTTTCCACCCTATATATATTTACAGTTTCTTAATTGAGATAACTAAGAAGTACAGACCTCTGTCAGAGACTTCAGTTGGGATTTGTACCCACTTAATTCTTCTGTTAGACTCCCCTTTTTCATCTGTAGATCACTTAGTTCTTTTCTTAAGGAATGGACTACTTCATAGAATCGGACCTAGAACAACAAGGCATATATTCAAAATTGAGACTAACAAAATTGCCATTGCAAAAGTATAATGCTAAAAACAAACCAGCTCAACATTTTACAGCAATAATTCAACAAGTTATTTCTAGTGCATGACAGAAACCTGGTTGGGGAGTTGGGGTGCAGTGAAGGAAATGTTACAGTGAAAGCAGCATCTTTCTTCTACCTTTGACAGCATCAGTTAAGAAATAATCAAAATGTGTTTGGCACTGAACAAAAGAGAGGAATAAAGGTAAAGATTACATTGCTGTTCAACTAAGGCAGCTCCACCTCAGGCTGCCCATTCAAAAAAAACCAAACAGTTGCTAATGGACCACATGGCCCTGTGTACTTACATGTGCCAAACCTAGAGCCTATTTGATTAACACTGTAAAAAGAGAAAAAACCAAACCCAAACAAACAAAAAACCTGTTTAGCAATAACCAACTTAACTTGCTAACTTCCCCAAGCCAATATAAATTTTCATGAGGTGTGTAGAAACAGAGAAAGATTAATTTTTGTTTTCTGCCAGTTCAGTGTGCTGAATTTGCACCAAGAAAAATGGAAGAGCAAGCGCAGGAAAGCAGGAACAGCACATAACCAGGAAGAACTGTGATACACACACCCCACACACACCTTCAGCAGTAGCATCTTGTTATATGGATTCAGCTGCATCAGGCAACTAGCCTCTGACTTGACTCTGCTAAATTAACAACAAAAAATCCTTGTAAAAGGATTAAAAATAAATTAAAGTCTGTAACACACAGTCCTCTCTCTTCCCCCATTTTAGTAATAGGCATATTAAGTCTTATCCACAACACTTTTTCAGAACATTTCTATTGTCCAAAAAAAAAAATACTAGAGAATACAGTAGTAAAACCATAAAGTCAGTAGTAAAAAGAGACAAAACAAAGAAGAAAGCTTTTTTGGTATACCCCCACCCAACACACACAGAGGTTATTACTCTCAGATTAACTTAATACCTTAAAATGTTGGTTTTGGGGGATGGAGAAAAGAACAATTAATTAAGCACTGTTTTCATACAAAAGCTACTGCATACCCTCCGTCACTAATGCTTTGTTTTATATATGATTAAAGAACACAAGAAAGCACAAATAAGTGACCATTCAGTAGCAAGCTGTACTACATTTCCATGCAGAAGGAAGACAGACAGGTCTCTGTGTTTTGCTACCTGTAAGTAGCAGAAGACAAAGGAAAGTTCCAGGTGTATTTCATATAATTGAGAGCATACAATTCTAAAAAACACAGAAGCCATGGAAATTTGCCATGTAGATACAGATGTAGTTTGCTTTATACAATAAGGCAAATGTGCAACATGAATGGAAAATTAGTACTTGTAGTTTCAACTGTAGCATCTGATGATTCAATTGGTCATTCTTAATAAAAAAAAATAACCTTGATTATCACTAATTGGTAACCATTTAAACCATTGTGTTTTTTTCACACCTGGTTTTCCACTAAGCTCTTACTGCAATTTCCCTAGGAAACGTAACTTATGCTTTCATGCCACATTTACTTCTCAAAACACAACTACCTTAAAACAGATTTCCCAATAGAAAGATATCATGAGATACAGGTATCAAGAATAAATGTATTTGCACAGCCCTCCCAAGAAAAGATAATTACATGGTAACAAGAAAGTACAAATGAATGCAGCAGATGAGGGTGAGGTTGTAGCAGAAATTCAAGTGTTACTGTTCTTTAGCTAGTTTGATGTCCAATAAACATTCATGTAACTCAACAGTCAAAGCACACATTGCCTCTTGCCAACTCAACCGAGCAGAAACAAAAATTACTGTAAATGGGGTTTCCAAAACATATCTTAGAAATTACAGGTTTATATCAACGTGCTATAAGCAAAGAGTTACTATTTTCTAGGCAATTTTAAAAAAACTCTTTGCATGTGCCCACCATGTTTTATGGAAAACTATAATTAAGGTAAAAAAGGGTGGGTGCAGAGGATGAAAAAGTTGGCTTCTGTTAAATGAAGTTACGTGGAAGCAGTTGGATCAGTTACCTGCCTTCTTAGACAAACAGCAACTGAGCTGTAGTTAGCAAAATTATACAACTGAAAGACATGACAATTAAAATCAGATCAAACAGAATTTGCAGACACTGTTTTTAAACAATTCGCTGCAATTTATTTTTTTTTTTAACGACAGAGTACACAAGAGGTTCACTTTACTGAACAAAGTGAATTGGTGCTTGGCAGCCAAAACACTTAATGGCCTGAAGTAGTTTAAAATTTTGCAGATACTGTTTCTAAAAAAAAAAAAATTATTCTTTTAAGTGGTAATAATAAAGAAAAAATTAAAAATCTGAATTTTTACTTTTAAGTTCAAAAAGCAAAAAAGCATGATTTTCAGAGAAAGATGCTTAAAATATTTTTCAGTTGTCATCATTAAGTATTACCTAGTCTTCATTCTAACATGTCATTACTGCACCACTTTGTGGAAGAACAGTAAAAAATATCTCACATTTGCTTTAATTTCAGTATTTTAAACTTGAAATAGCTCTATATACAAAATCTCCATTTAAGCTCTTCCTGCTGTTTGTCCATTATACCAGGTTTCAAACAAAGTCTAAGCATTGTATACATGTTTACTTCTATCCTGAAGATTGTAAGGCAGCATTTTATAACTGATAGAAATTTTCAGACTTTTTTTTTTTTTCCTCATGTTGTCTACGCAGGATCCTTTCTTGCCAAGAAAAATTTTACCCTAATATCAGTAGACTAGACTGTTAGTCTGGAGCCAGAAATTTTAAATGCCTGAGAAATACAAAATTCTTCCTTAGGCAAGCAAAGCAGAAAACAACATTCCTTTCAACATCCTTTACCTAGCCTTCAGAAGCCAAATGGATGTGTAGACAGGATAAGCAAAACAGTTCTGTAGCCTCCCAGCATCTGCATCAGCTGAATAATTCAAAGTAATGATAAACAACCACCAAGCTTAACTGATACTTTCAGGTTCACACTAATCCTCTTGCTAAAAGAAGATGAGAGAACAAGCAGTAAACAGCATTTTACTACATCTTTAGAATGCCTTTTCTGGGAAAAAAAACCCCAACAAACACCAGCCAAAGAAAGTCACTTCTTCAAAAGAAAAAGTGACATATAAAGAAGAAAGGGGCTTCACTGAACACATAAATACTAGAGTTTTTAGCACAGAAAAAAGTAGCATTTACTGGTTGAACACAAGAGGAAAAATTGTTGTGCAGGAATCAATGAAAACTCTTCAAATACTTCGGTAGAGGGCAGTAGATACAGTAGACAGCTAGGGGGTAGTAGGGCCCAAGCCTTAAGATTTTCCTAGTGCTTTCAAAAGTCATGTTTTGGAACTTCTTAAAAGAGACTTTCACAAGATTATCCTTTAGATAAGAATGGCAATTTAAGGTACACTGTCTCCTGTATTTGGTCAAATAGGAAAAGGCCAGATGGAAAGTGTAAAGTTCTTTTTAAAACATCAGTCTGGGATTCCCCAGACTTCCCCTATACTGGAATGCAGTCGTAACAGACCGATTCAGAAGCACATCTTCCTCTGAAGGTCTTTCATTTCTAGCTGGACATGAATAAGAATTCTAGGATTATAGACTGGCTTCTACTCTATGAACATCCCTTTAATTCTAAAAATAAAAAAAATCAATTTACAGCTTGTGGTGGGTTGACCCTGCCCAGCAGCCAAGCACATGTATGGCTGCTCACATACTTGCTACCTCCAGTGGGAACAGGACAGAGGAGAGAGTGCGAAGAACAAAACCAAGAAAACTCAGGTGTCAAGTTTTCTAAACAGTTTAATTACTGAAGAAAGGAGAGGTGAACTTAATAAAGAAAAAGCAAAGACAATCACTCACCACCTCCCACAAGAAGACTGATACCCAATCACTCCCTGAGCAATAAACACCTTGGAAGCCACCACCACCCCACCTCCTCTTTCTTCCTCTATCTCCAATTCTACTGCTGAATATGATGTTAGATGGTATGGAATATTCCCTGGGCCAGTTTAGGTCAGCTGCCCAGCTGTGTCCCCTCTCAATCTCATGACCATGCCTATCTTGCTGGGAGAGGAGGAAGCAGAATGGGGAGAAGAGAAAGCCTTGATGCTGTGCAAGCACCGTTCAGCCAAAACATCAGAGTGTTACAACTGTTCTAGCCACCAACCCAGAGCACAGCAAGATTCAGGCTGCTATGAAGGAAGTTAACTCTGTCCCAGGCAGATCCAGGATACAGACTATATTTTAAACTTATATAAAACAAAATACTCACAGAAACATATTCAGAGATAGAAAGCTGATCTTCAGGAAGAGACTTTAGCTTCTCATAGCAATCATCTGTTAATTCCAAATCTCTCAAGCTATGACGGATATTTCCAGCCCTCTCCCTCAACTGATGGTTTGTTTCCTCCAGCTGCTTCTGTCTCAATAAAACAGCTTCCATTTCTTGTTTCATTAGAGCCTGATGTTTTCTTCATGATTGATTTGAAAACATTTGAAAAAAGAAAACATTAAATAGTGAGTAACACAAGTGACAAAGCTTTGAATACCCTGGCAAAGGAATGAGCCGTCTTCATTTTGCAAAGGGGGAAATTTACACAGATTAGTTAATTAGCACAAGAGTGTATACCACAATGATTAAGCTATCATATCAGACACAGTGTATATAAAAACCAGGAACTTTATAGTCACTGACAATACAAAGCTGAACCTGAGAAGTAACAATCTCCACATATGCTGACTTGAATTTATACATAAATCTTAATTTACCAATCAAAAGGTTAAAAGACAAAAAAGCAGAAAATATTTCAAAAAAAACCCCAAGGAACTACTATATCACCAAATAAAGCAACAGTTACTTCAACTTGTGTCTAATGAAGTTTCAGCACATGGATGCTCATGGTCTATTTCACACACAACCCTTAATTTTCTAACAAGTGTAACATATAAAGTTGGGGTCCTTTAAAAAAAAAAAACAAACAACAAAACAACACCCAGCAAACGAAACACCATTACATTAAAACAAGCAACCTTACTTCCAGCCTTAAAATATCACCATTACTATCACTAGTGACAAGGTATTATACAGCAAGTGAAACTGCACATCACTTAATGACGTTTCAAAGTGTTTATTTTATTCAAATCATAGAATCATAGAATGTTAAGGGGTTGGAATGGACTTTTAAAGATCATCCAAGTCCCAATCACCCCTGCCGTGGGCAGGGACATCTCCCACTAGACCATGGTGCTCAGAGCCCCAACCAACTTGGCTTTAAACACTGCCAGAAGTGGGGCATTCACAAACTCCCTGGGAAACTCATTCCAGTGTCTCACCACCCTCACAGTAAAGCATTTCTTCCTAGTATTTAAGGTAAATTTCCCCTCTTTCAATTTCTACCCCTTACTCCTTGTCCTATTCTCTGCAGGCCCCCTTCAGATACTGAAAGATTGCTATGAGGTCTCCACACAACCTTCAAATCAAAGACAACGGAACATTTATTTTGGAGGCTTTAGCTATAACTCTTGAAAACATATCCAAATTAAATCATTCTTTACAACATAGTAATTCCTGCATTATTTAAAAAGTAATATAAAAAATACTAGCTAATACTACAGGGTGACATCTGCACCACTGGTTTAAAAAAAACAAAACAACAAAGTCTGAGCAAAGCAGTCACAAAAGGACATATTCTTTAATGTGTACAATTCTACTAAATGGGGATGAAAAGTGAGTAAAAGACTGAAAAGAAAACTAATGGAAAGACTGGGGAAAGGAAAGTAGTTCAACTTTTTATGCCTATTAGTAACAATCTGCACATCAGTACTTTTTTACTGAGTACTCCTGAGATAACTCAAGTATGGCAAACATAAAAATATTCCACTGTGGTGGAACTAAGCACACAGAGTGGCATATGTTTTTCTGACACAATCAGCTGCTCTTAGTTGAAACACTCTGCTGTAACTAATCTCAGGTCTGGCTTCACATCACTAAATCTGTTCTAGCTTCCTACAGAATGTGACTTTGAATTAGCCACATTCTGTAAGCTGGTGCATCCTTTACTGTAACATGAGACTATGTAAATAATGCTCTTCCTTCACAGGTGTTAAAACATTTAAATGACACAGTAGTTTGGAGTAGCCTTCTAGCCAGTCTATTTTTCAGCTACAGGTTAACTAAAAATATTTCAGAAAACTACGATGAAAAGTGAATTTCTACATCATCAACTGAAAGCATTTATGACAAATCTGCAATCTTGACTGGAAATGCTAAACATTATTCTCTTACCTTTCCCAAGTCATCTACACGGCAGTTATTAAAAATTCAGTTTAAACTGATGGAAATTCTGCCCCCTCTGCCTATTCCTTTTGCTCTTTATCGGTTTTAAGAACATTTTTATTCCCCTTTCCTATTAAATGTTGAATCAAACTAACAATAAAACCAAAACTACAAACTTCAGCCAGTGAGGGTTGAATTCAAATTTACTTATATGTAAATTAAATACGCAAATTACATTTTTAGAATTAAAATACTAATATAATCTGCAAAAGAAATCCTACTCTCACAATAAATAATTATCTGCTTCCGTTAATAACTTATTTATACAAATTCAAATCAATTAATGGACAGTGAAAGATGACGTTCTTAATTTTACTTCCATCATACCTAGCATCTTCCTGCTGTAATGCCAACTGACTATCCAGTCGTAAAGACAACAGCTGCTTTTGATGGATTGCATCATTAAGCTTCTCTTCTAGCTCCTCGATCTAAATACAAAGAATGTAAGTATAAAATGAAGAAAAGTTACCTCAGTAATTTAAAAAAAATATTTTACAAAAAAGAACAACTTGAGAGAAAGAAAAAAAGTGAAGAGTCCAATGCTTTGGGAAGCGCAACAATGATTGTCTAACAAAACCTCTAAATATGCTAAGGCTTCATTGAATAGGACATGGATTTTGTCTCAATGAACTAAAAATAAAAAAAGACTTAGTTCTTAATTGGGTCTTTTTCAATCAAATAGCTACTTGTTCACTGAATTTCAAATTAGGCTTAAACTCAGAGCAGCAAGCCAATGAAAGCACAGTTAGTATACAGTAGGTTGTAAAAATGAACTGCGCTCACATCAGTGACAAAATTATTCTTTATTTATGAAAGGAAACAGGTGTTTTTCCTTTGTATTTAGAAAAGGTAGAACTAATTAGATCCCACCTCATTTATTTGTAAGTATAACGACTTGGATAAGTCAGCTAAGTCTCCCATATATTTGTTTCCTTTTCTTCTCGTTAAAGAACACAAACAAAACACACCAAAGAAACCCCCCAAACCAACTAAGCAGGCTTCCATCATGCAATTCAAAGAAATTTTTTTCAGAACAGAAGTTTCTACCATACTCTAAAAGCACCAAAACGAACAAAAGAGTATATAATGAAAGGAGAAACACTTCTTACCTTGGTCAAATATTCCACTTTCAAGTTGTCAATCATCAAGTTTCTTTGAGATAATTCTATTTTAAGCAGCTGAAGGTTATGGAGCAACTCCTTTCGTTCAATCAGCTGCTTAGTGATTTTTACAGTACCTTCTTTCTCTTCAGAGGAAGAAACATCATCAGTTGGCATTGTGGTTTCTAAGCTAATATCTTCAGATTCCAAGGAGCTAGAAATGTTTACTTTCTTGATTTCCTTAGAGCTTTCTTGCGACATTTTCTTCCACTATTTGTAAAGCTTTTTTTAAGCTATACTTTGAGATGAGCCCCTTGAAGAGTTAACAGCAAGAATCAAAACAAATGAAAGGCATTATGTCGTTATGAAATATTAACCACTTAAACTAGACCACTGAGCAAGTAATGCTTCTCAGTAGCACAATTTCTTTTCTTTTCACCCCATAAAAACATTTTGACAAGCTCCGAAGAGGGCAGTTGCCTAAGGACTCTCTTGCTAAACAACTGCTAGCAAGGGTTTTGACCAAAATAAGCAAAATACCAGTGTGAATCTACCTTACTAGATAAGATGTGTAAACTGTCAGAAGTCCATGCACCGAAAACTCGGGAGATCCATGAGGACTTTCTGGATTAAAGGGTAAAGGGATACTTTGATCACAGAATCACTTAGGCTGGAAAAGATCTCTGAGACCATCGAGTCCAACCTATGACCGAAGAGCACCTTGTCAACTAGACATGGCACTCAATACCACATCCGCTCTTTCCTTAAACACCTGCAGGGACGGTGAGTCCACCACCTCCCTGAGCAGTCCATTCTGATGGCTAATCATCCTTTCCGTGAAGAACTTTCTCCGATGTCCAACTTAAGCCTCTTCTGGCGCAGCTTAAGCTTGTGCCCTCTAGTCCTGTCCTTACTTGCCTGGGAGAAGAGGCCGACCCCTACCCAGCTACACACCCCTTTCAAACACTGTCTGCCTTCCCAGCAGCAGTAGCTGAACTGTTCTTACCACTGTTCTTCCCAGCAGCCACGCGGATTTCTACTGCCCCCAGGCACAGAGCAGGGTTGTTTCTCACAGGCGGCGCTGCTCAGGGCCCTGCCGGCAAGAGGAGACGCCGCGCTCCGAGCCCGAGCCAGCGACAGCGGGGCTGCCCCCGCGGGGGCTCCCCGGGGTCACAACCCCCTCCCTTCCCCACGGCAGGCGGGGGCGGCTCGGGAACGGAGGGGTGCTGCTCTGCGCCCCGGACGCCCCGAGCTGCAGAGCGGTAACTGCGGGGGGGCGTTCACCCAGCCCGGCGGGTCCCTGAGGCAGCCCCCCCAAACCCCCCAGGCCCCCACGGCCGGCGGCGGCGGCAAGCGGCAGTAACACTCGCGCGCGCTTCCGCCTGCCCTCAGCGCGGCGGGGGCGGGGCGGCTCTCACGCCATCACCGCGGCGACCGCGGCGCCGCTTCCCGCGCCGCTCCCGCCTCCCGGCGCCGCTTCCCGCGCCGCTCCCGCCTCCCAGTGCTTTCCCGCGCCGCTCCCGCGGCCCGCGCGCGCTATGCTGACCTCGCGGACCTTCGTGAAGCGCACGCGGGCGGGCGCGGTGGTGAAGGTGGTGCGCGAGCACTACCTGCGCGAGGACATCGCGTGCGGCGCCGCCGCGTGCCGCCTCTGCCCGCCCCCCGCCGCCGCTGGTGCCGGTGCCGCGAGCGCGCCCGCGCTGGAGGCGCGCCCGAGCGGCGCGAGCAGCAGCCTGTGCCGCGCGCCGCACTTCCTGCTGCCCGACACCAACCTCCTCCTGCACCAGGTGAGCGGCCTCGGCCTCAGCGGAGCGACGCGCCCGGCCGCCGGGGAGGGCCTGCCGCCACCGCCGCTTCCCTCTGGGCTCGGCCGTGCTCCACGTGGAGCCTCAAGCCCTCCTTCCTGCGGCCTTGGTTAAATCCGTGTGTGGGTGAGGTACCCCGCGCCTCGCACGCGGGGGCTTCCGGCGTCTGGCAGCGCGCCGTGGGCTCGGCTCCTCCCGTTGTTCCCTGTGGCTTCTTGATCCCTGGCTGGCCAGTCCGTCCTTTCCTTGCCAGCTGCTTATTAGCAGAGAGCTACAGCATCTGCAGCTCTGCCTGTGGGGTTTTTGGGGGGTTGGGGTTTTTTACTTACTTGTTTTTTATTTTTTTTCTGCCTGGTTTTGTGAACGGTAGGAATAAAAAGCCACGTTTATTTGTTTTGCTTGTTGTGGGTATGGAAAGTCAGGCAGAGAGAGTCGATACACTCTGAAACAACGATTGGGATCTTTTTTGTGGTCACTGGATTTTTCTTACAACCAGAATTTTCCCTAGATGCCTCTTCTGTTTTTCAGAGTGTAGGTTTGTGTTCTTTATACTGTGATATTGATTTCGTGTAATGAGTAGAGCCTGAAAAATCATCCCATGTGCAACTCTGGAAGCAATGGCAGAAACTTTACTCTGTAGCCCATCAGTAGTTGTTCAAAGGTTTGAATTTGAGCAGTGCAGACACTAGAGAGGCTTTGAGGCATTGGAATTGACATTTAATTTTTTTTAAAATTATTTTTTTGTTTGTTAATTTGTTTTTGAATACCAGTGTAGAAGGTAGAATACCCTTGAGCAGGCGTTGGAGACGAAGTACTTCATGAATCCTGACGTGGAGTACCCAAAAGAGGGGTACCACACTTGTGTGTTTTAGCAGTTATACATTCCAAAACTTGTAAGTAAGGATTTTCTTCCCAAAACAGCACATCTGAGGGTGTTTTCAGCCTGTTATACGTGGATTTCTTGTTGTGTGTTGGTAGAGTTTGTATGTGCATATTGTGGATGGAGCACTCTGTGAATGTGCCAGGGTATGCTGCTACAAGCTGGAGAAGGGGGGATTAGGAAGTCTTGGTAACAGTAGGGAAAGGTTTTGCCTAGCAACTGAAACAGGTTTGCAATAGTAAGGCTTGGGCTGGTACTTCAGTTTGTACATAGACTAATAGAGGATTTCTTCCCCAGTGAACATGGCTCTAAATCTTTCAGGTCATCTAAACATTAAGGTTAGGGAAGCTTGGTCTGGCATTGGTTTTACTTCTTTTAGCTATACTTTCTAGAACCTTATTCCTTTCTCATTTTGGAAGTGGGTTTGCACAGTTCCTTATCACAGACTTAGCAAGTGGAGCTCCTATGCTTTTATGCTGACAGCTTGTGTGGATCCTCGGTGTGGATCTTTGCATACCATGACTGTCAGGAGTTGGCAAAGAAAAGTGCTGACAAATTTTTAACAAATTTCCTTAAAAAAGAAAAAGGTCTTTCAAAAGACAAGAGCAGCTAACAGAATTCCAATTGGTTTGACTTTATACAAATGAAAATTGCAGTGCAACAGTGGGATTGGTTTTGGAGAACTTGAGCCTACACGTGCTCCTCCAGGCATGTCAACTGTGTAACAGTGCTCAGCTGCTATTTTATGGCTTGCATTCCTCCCAAAGGCATATGCCATACAGCCTGTAAATTACGTCCGATTACTGTCAGATTGTGCATAGTTGTGTTTTGGTCACTAAGATTACAATTTACGCATTTTATGTAAATCAAATTTACCCATTTTATGTAAATAAAATTGGCCTTACATCTGTTTGGAGACCTGCATGCATTGGGGCTGAATTTGTTGGAAGTCAGAATAAGTCCTTATCTTTACTCCAGGAAAATTCAGGTCACGGAGAGTATGGAAAATCCTGCTTGATTTTTTTTCCCACAAGCAGGAGGAAGCAACTTAATACACTGTTCAGTTTCCCAGTAGTAAGAGAAAAGGGCAGAAGTAGTACCACTCATTATTTATGTTACCTTTTTATGTACTAACCAAACAAATATTTTAAGTCCTGTTATTGGATAGAATTAAACAGCAATTTTGATTAATTTCCATTCTGTTCCTCAGATTGATGTCCTTGAAGATCCTGCTATTAAGAATGTCATTGTGCTGCAGACGGTCTTACAGGAAGTCAGGAATCGGAGTGCACCAGTATACAAGCGAATCAGGGACATGATTCAAAACCCTGAAAAACATTTCTATTCTTTCACCAATGAGCATCACAAGTAAGATGTGGAATAGGGTATAACAAAGTTGTGCTGATGTCTGGTAAAAGAAACTGGGAAACAAAATTGGAACATGTGGACCAGGAAGAAAAATTAGACTGATGTGCATAGAACCGTATACTTCTAATGAATCCTGTTGGGAAATAGTTGCATGTTCCAGGAGCTTTTCTGTTTATAAATAGTGTACGTATATATATGTTATGAAAGAGGGATTGGAATATTGAATAAACTTTATAGATAGCACTGTTATCTTGAGCAATAGAATACTGATTTCCCATTTTAGTTTCCCTTTTTAACATATTCCAGTGCTTTTACTGTCAGCTCAGTCTGTAGCAGAATTCAAAAATCTGTTAGTAAGTTAGTGACAGAAAGCTCTAAGAAATGAAGATGCAATTAATTTGCCTTTATTTGTGCTCACAATTAGTTTCCAATACTGCAGTACCACAGTTTTAGGGATCTTGCATCCATAGTTCTAACATGTTGAACTCAATCCTCTTCAATTGTCTTTGAGAAGGTTGTATTAGAAATTAATACTTCCTTCCTATTTTCCTTTATCTGTCTGTCTCCTGGCCCTTCCGTGGCCTAAGAAGCATTACACATATTTTAAAATGGGTACAGTAATGATTCTTTTGGCCTCACAGCCTTGATCTTGTTTGTCTGGAAAATTTTCCTACGTGTAGATACATGTTGGGATTTTTTTTTGTTTTGTCACACCCTGCCTTTGTTTTTAAAATTTATTTAGAGAAACCTACATAGAGCAAAAGCGAGGAGAAACTTCTAATGACCGCAATGACAGAGCCATTCGGGTAGCAGTAAACTGGTACAACGAACACTTGAAGAAAATAGAGGATGAGGAGAAGATTCAAGTTATCTTTTTAACAAATGACAGAACTAATAAAGAGAAGGCTTTAGAGGAAGGGATAACTGCTTATACATGTAAGTGAAATAGTATTGATGTTTCATTTATTGTTCAGATAAACTGTGCAGTCTCTTCATACCTAAATCCTGTGCATCTCTCGCATAAATATTTATTTGTGTGCTTTTGTAGGTGAGGAGTATATAAAAAGCTTGACAGCTAATCCTGAGCTTGTAGATCGTCTTGCTTGTGTATCTGATGAAGGGGTATGTTTTTATTTTCTTTTTATAAAATAAATTAATCAGAAATGGTTTGCAGTATAATACTGGATACTGTTTGTCAGGCTACTAGCATCAGTTTAGAATATGAGGGCTCTGGCCTTTATTCCCATTTTGGCAATTTAACTTTTTGTCAACTGAAAAGTAAAAAGGAAACATTGCAGCCATTTTTAGTGCTGCTTATATGCCTGTTAGTAGGTGTCTTGTTATTTGTGAAAAACCAGTTGCCTTAGGTTGAGAAGATGAGAATAATAACAGTTTGTTAAATAAAGTGTATAAATATGAGAAATAAATGAAACAAAATGAAAACAACGTATATTGCTGACTTACTTAGATTTTGCTTTGTATGTACTTAAAAGTTTGTTAACTTATTGATCAAAAGTATTTTCATGTGATCAGTTAAGTTAACATAAATGCAGTCTGCAGTTCAAAGATGAGCTACACCCTCTTCTGTTTCCTTGTAGTTTGTGTTTGTCAGAGTCAAGACTTATATTTTCACATACAAAGTGATAGAGCTGAACACTAACTACAAAAAATGGGAGAGTTCATTTCATCGTAGTTCTAACAGAACTGAGCTTTAACATGTAAGAGCGGGAAGAAAGTGGAGGGCTCGGGTGATGATCTCAGCAGCTAACTGTAGATCATTAAGGAGCTTCAAAATTTAGTTACAGTAATGTATTTTCATAATGTTTCATATAGCTTACGGTATATACATTGTGTACCATACTCTTTACCATGTAGTACTATACTAATTTTTTTTGTTAAGTATACATTTAGTCAGTATATCCAAATCAGCATAAAACTGTATGCCACGTGTGCAGTATCATTTTAAGTAACTGCAGGCAAACAGGAAAACAAGAGCTCCTGGAATTGCTATGGTTTTATGGTTTTTATGCCTTTAATGCTTTATTAGAAAAAATAATGATTAGTGGTAGTTTTCTATTACTGTCCTTATTCCTACCTGCACATAGTTACAATTTGGGAGTTTGTCAGCTTGAGAGTCATGTTCCTGAGCTCAATTTGAAAATAATCATGAATATAAAATCCTGAACATTTCTTCTTCTTTTTCCCTAAAGAAAGAAATAGAAAGCGGAAAAATAATATTCCCAGAACATATTCCTCTTAGCAAATTGCAGCAAGGAATAAAATCTGG